AGGGGCTGCTGGGATGGAAGGGTGGTCCTGGCTCAGGAGGACCTATCTGCAGGGGCTGCTGGGATGGAAGGGTGGTCCTGGCTCAGGAGGACCTACCTCCTGGGGCTGCTGTGGATGGAAGGGTGGTCCTGGCTCAGGAGGACCTGCCTAAGGGGGCTGCTGGGATGGAAGGGTGGTCCTGGCTCAGGAGGACCTGCCTGTGGGGGCTGCTAAGATGGAAGGGTGGTCCTGGCTCAGGAGGACCTACAGCAGGATCTGCTGGGATGGAAGGGTGGTCCTGGCTCAGGAGGACCTGCCTATGGGGGCTGCTGGGATGGAAGGTGGTCATGCACATGGTAAGCTCAGCTCGGGATCCCAACACAACACCAGTGCTCAACAGACCTTGGCCACTGCCACCTCCCACAGTGGCACACGCGGTGTGTGGACACACACACAAAGACTAACCCAGACACCCTCTCAAACCCCAGTCTTCATTCAGTTGGGACTCTCATTTATGAAGGGCTACATACCATGACAGATACTGAGTAGAACTGGTCACCAAATCACAGAGGTCAGGATGATAGAAACGTTTACGACTTTTCTGGTTTTGTTTGGTTTTATTATTTAGGGTAAATCAGTGGAGGTCTTCATTTAAACACATCAGTCAGGCTCTTGTGAACTGTCACCAGCAGCTGAGATGCCAGCCTCCCCCAGTGCTGTCTCGGGGCCTCCCATAGTGGATGACCACCTGCCATCTCATGGAGATGTGCTGTGGGAATGACTGTGGGACAGTGGGCAGTGTCAGTGGATGTCCCCAGAGACAGAGCCAAGTAGACTGGGTACCTCTCAGTCCATCCCCACCAGGCTGGGAACCACTGTCCCTACCCTGAGTGGATACACCTAGTGACCTGCCCAACCAGGAGCAGAGAAGAACCCCGGGGATTTGGATGAATTCACCATTTTGAGCTTTGCTCATTCGTTTCCTGTTCGTTAAGCCATAAGAGAACTCACAAAGGAATGTCTGCTTTTTAAGCAAGTTATTTCTTCACATTTGATTTTAAACCCAGCAAAATTAACTTCCCAGCTTGAGTTTTTCTTTGAACTTGGTGAAGCTTTCATCTGTCCACATGAGGGTGGACAGGTCCGATTCTAAGCACATTTAGGCTTGGGGCAAGCACACGCATGCATTGACCCACTGACTCTGAGAACACGAACTCAGGCCTCCGCACTCCGCACGCACAAGCCAGAGGCACCGGGGATCCCACTAGGCACTGACCGAAAGCCAGCAAGCCGGGGAAGGACACCAGAGAGAAACTTAGAGTCCTGGCTGCTGGTAAAGCTATTTCTACTTGTTCTAAAAGACAGGCCGTTGAGTGTCCCTCTTAAGATCAAGTTCATCCCCATACCAGGCAGTCGGGAGCTCATGGTACCCAGCACTCCCAGCTCTTGGGAGGGAAAGTGAGGTCAAAGTGGAATCAAAGG